AATGGGCCCTCGAGCCCACCAGCTGCCGCGTGGAGCCGCCGGCTTCTCTGAAGACCCCAGCCTTGGGAGCCCATGGGGCCTTGGGGTCTATAGGGTCGTCAGAGTTGGCAGGGGGTTTGGTTTGGGGCCAAGTTCGGGAGAGGGGTCTGGCAAAGAGACAAAACTGAAGGAGTTCGGTGCCCAGAACCGGGGCAATCGGATCCTAAATACAAAGTAGGATCCGGAGTTAGAAACTCAAAAAGTTTAAGATCCATGCAGATCAACGATAACACAAAACGGTACAGCCTGAAGATGTCCGTTGCCCGCTACGGTCACAGATAGCTTGAACCTCAACGAAAAGTGAGGGCCTCGAGTTCGCCCTTATAAAAGGGGCAAGGAAGACCCGAATGGCCGAGGCAGGTTTCCTTCCGGGTCAGGGGCGATTGGCTGGCCATTCCGGAAGAACAGCCTGATGTTCCTGCGAACCGGGTTCCTGGAGCCGCAGAGCCAATTTCACTGCTCCAAGTGGGAGGGGAAATAAATATACCAGGAGGTGTCACCAGCAGAGAGACTTCGGACAACCAAACTGCCCTGACGGAATCTCCACCTGTGTTAAAATGCGTTCACTTTGGAATCCACACTTTGGGGAGGGAAGTCGCTCACAGATGGTTTACATTAACTCTCAGGATAATCCGGAAACAGTTGTTGACCCTAAACAAACAGGGTTTTTCTCCCCTTTTTCAGTCTCAACTGACTAAGTTTGTTGTTAGGGACAATCTGGTCAGTTCTGACTTACCACAGGACGAAACACTGCCCAGCCCTATGGCGCCCTCACAACTGTCCCTGTGCTTCAGCCCATTGTTGTAGCCACTGTGTCCATCCAGGTTCTTCCTCATGTTCAGTGTCCTCCAAGCACTGTCCGGGGAGCCAGCCCTTTACAACCTCACAGGCCCTTGGGTGCAATTGTACGGCTATAATATATGAAGAGTAGTAAAGTCATAGAGAATAAGAGTAAACCAAAGGAGTCAGACACATCTCATGGTAGCATACTCACCTCAGCCCCTCATGATGGGCCACGTGGAGGTGTGGGAATAGGAAGAGAGAGACTTATTTCTAACCAAGGCTTATATATACTTGGGTGTAATGACATACGTCACAGGAAGGGATATAGCACAGCCCATACAGCAATGGGAGGGGGATGATCTAGGGGTGTACACACTATAGGAAGGGGTAGGATTAGGGGTACGGATGTGACAAGATGGGCGCATTCTAATCTTGGTTGTCACGGAGTTGGTTTGACCTGTTCTGAGCTCTCCAGGGAAATCACTATCTTTATCAGTAGGGTGTGAGCCCCACCTACGGTGGACCAGACAGTAGTCTGGTTGCTCTGATGGCTGATGCCTTTAGGGAGACTATCTCCAAACATCTGACCTCCCACCATGTGCTGGCAAGCAGCCTCTTACGTTTGGCCTATATTTGGGGAAAAAATCTGGAGAAAAGCCTTTTTCTATCCCACAAAGCATGAGGTCCTTTTCCAGTCTCTGCTGAGAACATGTCCCAAATACAGGAGACAAAGTCAGCCGCCTTCTCCTCAAAGGCCTCACTTCTTCCAAGACAGATCTGTGTGTCCTTTGGGCAGTCCCCGGCACTTCACCAGCACCACGATTCAAACACATCCATGCTTCTTCGGTCTTCCTTATTCAGTGTCTGGCTTTAACGCGCACATGAGCCGAGGGAACATATCGTGGTTTGGGTCAGGGCACCTTAGTCCTCAGAGGGACACCCTTGTTTCTCAACACTTGAAGGAACACTTTGCAGTAGATTTACCAAATGCCACGGGCGAATCATTTGGTCTCTTGACCGCTGCTTCCAGGAGCACTGATTGACCACTGCAGTCTCTTCTACACTTGTCAGGACATTACCTATGGGTGAAGTTATGAGGACTTGGGCATTCTTGACACTGAGCTGTAACGCATGGTGTGAGCTCGGCAAACTACACACAGGGAGTAAATCAGGCTACAGTTGACTGCTCACTGCTGACATGTGAGCTGTGCAGGGTGGCCTCCTTCCAGAGAGTGCCCAGTGGAAGACGCTGCGGAGGGAAGTCCAACTCTGACACACAGCCGGCAGGGGTGGGGTGGGGGTGCTGGGAGCTGGCTCCCAGCGCCAATCGGTGGCACTGGCTGAGCCTGGTGCTCCAAGAGGGCTGTGGTTCGAAGTGAAGCAAGAACCCCTGAAGCTCTACCTTCAGTCAAACAATAGGCAAACTTAAAAGCTGAACTATCACACCTGGGCTGACATTTCCCTTAGTCCACCTGAGGAGGTCAAAAAGGCAGCATTGGCTCAGGAGGCTGGGAAAACAGAGGGACGGAAACGAGAAGGCAAGGAGGCCACCGTAGGTCTGCAAAATTAAAAGTTTAAAAGAAGCCAAGCAAAATGCCAAAGGCAGGAGAGGGTGTAAACAGATTGGAACTTTCCTCCACTGTGATCATGGTGGAGAGCAATATGGCGCTCCCTCCAACACCTAGGAACAGACGTTCCATCTGGGCCCACGCTCCCTCCGCCGGGCATGTGCCCTCAAGAAGTAAGAGCCGTCATGAGCCCACATGCACGCAGCTCCATTCACCGTGGCAAAGAGGTGGAGAGGGCCCACATGGCCATCCGTGGAGCCTGGATGAAGGAACATTGGTCCATACACGCAATGGAATACTACGCATCACTGAAAAATGAGGAGACCACGAAGTCCCTCGAGACACGAGTGGACCTGGGGACCATGATGCCGAGAGAAGTCAGCCAATCACAAAGGACAAGCCTTGTCGGAGACCACTGCTATCAGGATAGACACCAAGACAAAGACGTGCCTGCCGCACGGGGATCAGACTCTGGAGGTCCCCAAGGAGGGAGGACCCAGCAAGGAGGATGAAGCGATGGGCTGGGAGGTTCACAGGGATGGGCTTGGGTGTCAACAAAGATAGAGATTTATAAGAGGGAGAAGAGAAATCAGGGGAGAAGGTGAGGTAGGATATAGTGTGTGTTGTGTGTGTGTGTGTGTGTGTGTGTAGTGTTAATGAGTGGTTTTAACTGGTGAATGCAGAGTTGACGGTCTGAACCGTAAACACACACACCCCTAATTCACAACAAAAACATTCATTTACAAGAAATGTTTTTAAAAAAAAGAAGCGACGTAAGCCGGACACATAGTGACCAGACCTCGGAGGCCTGTCCAGCTTCTGAGAACTTTGGGCTTGACCGTGAATGCAACAGGAAGCTATTTGCAGGGTGCATGTCGTGGTGCAGATTTGCTTTTAAGAAAAAAAGCATTGGAGCAGATGCCCTTGGGGGTAGGATAAACAGTCCCAGAGCAGCCACACACACACACACACACACACACCACACACACACACACACACCTGGAGGCTTTGAGCGAAAGGGAGAGTTGGTGGAGGGCAACCTTGGGCGGTGGCCCTGAGGGCCCAGGATGGGGTCTGTCCGAATCCAGGGCCCTTCTAACTGCCCGTGCTGTGTCCAGAAGCACAAGGCCTGGAAGCTTCCAGAACAGAAGGCCACAGGTATTTCCTCATCTACCTGTGGCTCAGGCACATTCTGGCAGCAAGCCTGCCCCTCCCTGGGGGGCCTCGAGGGGCTCCTGGGTTTGGCTGGGGAGACGCCAGCCCTGCCGCGAGCATCACGGCGGAGCCAGCCGCTCTCAAATGGCTCCGACATGGTGTGACTACACTCTTGTGTCTTTTTGCCATCTGCTGCTGTCATTAAAAAATTACATTTCCATCTGCTTTCACACTTAGCCCCCTCCCAGCCTCCCTTCCTGCAGGGATACGGCAGTGGTGAGAATCCGGAGTCGAAGGACCAGAATGTTCCGCCACCGCCTCTCGGAACCTGGGAGCTCTCCCAGGCCGGGCAGGCTGGGGCTGGGCTCCCAGGCTTGGCAGGCCACCCAGCCAACCACCCATGCTGTGACTGTCTGGCCATTTCCTCTTGCTTCGTTTGCCATCGGCCGTGGTCTCCGCCGTCAACTGCTTCAGGGAAGCCACTTGCAACTTTTAAAAATGATTACTGTCATCAGGTTTAATCAGGATGCTTGACTTTGGCATTAAAAATAAATGAGGAAGGCTTGAGGGTAAACAAGCGGCCATCTAGCTCAGGAGTAACAAAGTTCACATGGAAGAAGCACACCAGCCTGTGCGATCACGAGGTGTCGAAG